CCCCAAAACCCCAAAACCCCAAAACCCCAAAACCCCACTTTATAAATAATTTATTGAAATGGGTAACAATCTCTGATTCTCTAACTGAGGCTTCAGCAAGAGAAGAATTGAAATTGAGTCTATATCCTCTAAGTAGGTGGATTTAGGGTTTATGGGACGTGCTGGGAGATTCTAGAAGAGAATTTTAGATCCTGAGAGAGATCCATAGAAACTTTAGCCGATTCTCCAACCTATTTTGCCCTGTTAATATCTGTCACGCCAACATTTTTCTTAACTATGCTATATAGAAGCAAAGCTTTGTATGATACCTTTGGTGAACCAGAACCAGATGAGCCGTATTTTCATGGATATCAAGAGAAAAGGCAGGGTAAGAAAAATTCTTTTGTGACTATCATAAGTTAGTAGCCTGATAAGAATACGATGTCAGATCAGTAGTGACATGGTTAGCATGTTCTCACCAAGGCTTATTAAAGTTTTCAGTTCTAATATTTTGGTATAAATATAATAAATTTTACATTTTTATAAACCATCTTGTCCTTTTCTTGCCCATGGTAGTAAAACCTGTTCAAGGTTTTGTTAGTTCCTAGAATTCACTAGTATTTGGTCATATATTAAATTAGCTATTGCTACGCTACCAATTTCGTTAATAATGTGTGTTTAAGCTATAAAAATCTAATATTTCCTAGTGAATATATTGGAGAATGCATTAAATTTTGGTTAGAAAAGATAATAAGCATCGAGCGATTATTCCATGCTGAGTCCTTTCAAGGGACTAATACGTATCTTGCACTCATCATTCGCATAAACTGCACTTAACACGGTGTAAATTATTTCTTAACTAATTTTATTCTTTCTCCTCCTTTTTGCTGGGGTTCTCCAGAATTGCAATTTTGAGAAAAGATGATTATTTATTAAACCTCCTCTAGAATACGATAACTCTAGATTTATGAAGTACAAAATACCTCTGAGTAGCAATGTAAACAACAAGTATTTTCACCCAATTGCCACAAACCGGGAGTTTGCTAAATTGTTAACTCTTCACACATTGCCTGTGTTGAGTAACAAGAAAGCATATCAGGAGAAAATCTCTGAGTTTACTGACGAATTGAAAACCAATTTTCATGAGAAGGAGAAATACAGAAGTTTATTGCAGAAAAAGCAGGACCAAGTCAAGATTGATGAGACTGGATCAACCCAACCACATGATTATGGCTCTATGGAAATCAATCAGTCTGATAGTCTTGTCATAGAAGTCATCTCTGCTTGGAACAGGAATAATAGTCAGCGAACACGGAAATGTTCACCAATTGTGGAAATCCAGAAGTATACTAATGACCTTGATGCTTCTGATGAATCCTACCTCTTTGACTCAAGACAATACATAGAAGAAGATGATCAGTACATTTGGAGCAAGGCGTGCAAGATCAAGTTTGGCTCTAACACCAATAATACGCACAAAAATATTAAAATATCTTTATTCAAAAAGGAGAGCGGTAAAGCCCGGACCCAGATAGGAAGCTCTTACACCATCTCTGTTCTCTCAACTCTTAACAACCAGGATGTGAACTTCAAAACTTTTGAATTTGGGCCTGAAGGCCAGGAATGGAATGTTTTTACCAGGATACAATATATCTACAAAAAGGAGACTCTTTATAAGCAAATAATCGTCCGACTTGACGAGAGACAAGAAATGCTTAAGGAGATAATTGATCGCTACAAAGAGCAGAGAGAGCAAAAAAATCTCTGCATGTATTATACCTTTAAAAAGCACTGGAGTGGCTCTAATTTGGAGCCTAATATGAGTAAGAACTCTAGTAACTATCTTGGGGTTAAAACTCCTTCTCAATATGCAGGGTATTATAGCAGCACGAAATCTTTGAGTAACGAAAGGAGCCTTAATACCCTTAATGGATAGACGAGAATAGGCATAACCAAGTTAATTTTTAATTCTCTAGTTTGATATTTGTTCCATTTCCTTATAATTTTTGGGGTTTTGGGGTTTTGGGGTTTTGGGGTTTTGGGG